TTGTTGTTGTTGTTAAGTGCTGTCAAATCAGTTCCAATTCATGGCGAACCTGTATAGGGTTTCTGAGGCTGTAAATCTTTATGGGAGCAGAAAGCCTCACCTTTTTTCTGTGGAGAGGCTGGTAGATTTGAACTACTGACCTTGAGGTTAGCAACCCAATTTGTAATCCACTGTGCCACTGAGTGCATGTAAAGTACTTATACATCACATGACACAGAAAGCGTCAGTGAATATTAAATGTGAAGGTGTTTGCCTCTTAAGAGCAGGCTCTTCTCTCTTGTTCACTAGGGTTTCCCAGCACCCCCAACTGGGACATAGTAACATAAATGTATGGATGATATTCTTTTAACCGCAGACCCACTCTTACAGGTGGTCAGAAATGAGGCTGGCATTAATTGGCCTTAGGTGCAGTGAGAACCAGCTGTGGGCCACAGCATAGACGGGTGGATGCCTTGGATTGCTAAACCAAATCCTGGGCTTGTACTGAGAGAGCTATTCAAGCCAGGCTCCAAGGGAAGGTTTTTGTTACAAGAACGCTTTGCAGTGTTGTTGTTGTTGAGGGCCATCGAGTTGGTTCCGACCCATAGCGACCCTGTATAGGGTTTCTGAGGAGCAGCTGGTGAAGTTGAACCCCTGACCTTGTGGTTCAAACCGACTTTGCAGTTCAGGGCATTAAGCCACATCGTCACATTAGGACTCCTTCAAATGTTATAAGTACCTATTTTTCCATCAGTATTGATTGTGACAGTTCTGGTGTGGCACTGCAGGATAAGCACTGGACTGCTCACCGCAAGGTCAGTGGTTCAAATCCACCTTCTGCTCCTTGGAAATGCTATACAGGGTTGCTATGAGTTCGAACCAACTCCACGGCACACAACAAGAACAAAGACATTGATTGTGATAAGACTGAAGTTGTCAAGGATTTCATTTTACTTGGAGCCACAATCAACACCCATGGAAGCAACAGTCAGGAAATCAAATGTATTTCACTGGGCAAATCTGCTGCAAAATAACTCTTTCAAGTGTTGAAAACAAAGATGTCACATTGACTAAGGAGCACTTGACTCAAGCCATGATATTTTCAATTGCCTCATATGCATGTGAGAGATGGACTTGAATAAGGAAGACCAAAGAAGAATGGATGCCTTTGAATTCTGACATTGACAAAGAATATTGAATATACCATGGAATGCAGAGCTGAGAACATCCCTCAACTTGTCCTGTACTGATAGGGCCTTTTGCTCTTTTTTCCCTTTAAACCTTGTCATCACGATTGTGGAATTAGTATAGTTTATTAGCAGTACTCATGTGTTGGACAAAGTCCAGCCAGAGTGCTCCTTATAAGTGAGAATGGCAAGACTTTGTCTCTCCTACATTGGACATGCTATCAGGAGAGACCAGTCTCCAGAGAAGGGCATCATGATTGGTAAAATAGAAGGTCAGTGAAAGAGAGGAGGACCCTCATTGGTTGGCAGTGTCTGCAACAATAGGCTCAGATAAAGCAACCGCTGTGAGGATGCAGGACTGGGCAGTGTTTCATTCTGTGTGTACAGGGTTGCTATGGGTCAGACTTGACTCCACAGCAGCTAACATCAACTGATTGGGATACCATAGCAAAGAAAATGATTGGTTTCATGGATAGTTGCTAAAAGGAAGAGAATTTGCTGAGCGTAGAGATAGGCGTCCCCAGGTGTTGTAAACATATGTGGCTACTAGCTGAAAAGTTGGAGGTTCAAGTCCACCTAGAGATGCCTCCAAAGAAAGCCCAGAAGATTTTTAAAAAAAAAGAAAGAAAGAAAATCAGCCATTGAAACTCCTGTGCAGCCCATGGGCAGACATGGCTCACGATGAGTCAGGGTCGGCCACTGGTACTTAACACAGCAACCAGACTGGGGGGTGTGGGGGCAGCAGGATAGTGAGGCCTAAACGTGCCCTTAGGCTTAGTCACTTAGGCACTTCACAACAACAACAAAGCTCCTCCTAGAAGAAACCCTGATATACAGTGGTTAAGCACTTTGGTAGCGTAGTGGTTACGAATCGGGCTGAGAACCACAAGGTCATCAGTTGAAAACTATCAGCTGTCCCACGGGAGAAATGTGAGGCTTTCTACTCCCATAAAGATTTACAGCCTAAGAAACCCTGTACATGATCGCTATGAGTCGGAACCGACTTGACGCACTAGACAACAACTACTAAGAGAAAGGTGAGCGGTTTGAACCAACCAGAGCACTCAGTGGGAGAAAAGACCTGATGATCTGCTTACTTTAAGCCTTGGAAATGCCATGGGGCGGTTCTTGTCTGCTCTATTATAGATTCACTACCAGTTGGATGGCAGTGGGTTATTTGAGCTTCTCCTAACATCAAGGGTTTGCTCTAGGAAAATAATGCAAGTCAACCTGCCTTGGGGAAGTTCTCACCTGTGTTTCTCTAAAGACTGGTTTAATTTTCAAAAAAAGACCAAGTCTCTCCAGTTCTCCTCCTCAATTCTGGGTGGGACTTTATAAATTCCATGGATGCGCTAGAGACGGGGAAAGCTCCAGGCAATAAGAGAAGATGACCATTATGTTATTGACAGTAACTTGAAAACATTGTTCATGAAATTACTTCCCAAGCAAAAGTCTCCAACCGAGTTAAAATTTCCCTTTGCATTTTCTCACTTTTCAGGTGACCTTGTACAAGGACTCAGACATAGAGGACTTTGGGTTCAGTGTAGCAGATGGCTTGCTGGAGAAAGGAGTGTATGTCAAAAATATTCGCCCAGCTGGACCAGGTGATCTTGGTGGCTTAAAACCTTATGACAGGCTCTTACAGGTAAGACTTCAGGTGATACTTAATTCCCTGGGGCTAATTCAGAGCTGAGAACTGTACTTTGGATATAATTCAAACTGTCCTGTACTTTGGATATCTATCTTTGCTCTTTTTCCCTTCAAATCTTGCCATCAAGATTATGGAATTAGTATTTTATTCCCACCCAATAAATTTTCAGGTGCCTTATCTCTGTGGGTTTAAGTTTTATGACACTGGGCTGAAAGTCACCTTTCCCAATCCAATGCTTACTCCTAAGAGCCCACCCAGGCATGGGCCCACGTCCTTCGGAGCTATGGTGGTGGTGTTGTTGTTATGTGCCGTGGAGTCAGTTCCGACTCATAGCAACCCTGTACAGGGTTTCCGAGGCTGTAAATCTTTATGAGAGCAGAAAGCCTCATCTTTCTCCCGGGGAACAGCTGGTAGTTTCGACCTTTCCACCACCCTTCTTCAGCATGACTTCCAAGACAATATTGTTTGGCTTAATCCCTCGCCAGTAGTTTCTCTTGCTTCTTCCTTCATTTATTCTCTATCTACAACTTTTACATATGGAGGCTGTGGCACTATGGGATAATGCACTGGACCATTTGAACTACAAGGTCTGTGGTTCAAGTTCACCAGTCACTCCTCAGAAACCCCACACAGGGTCGCTATGAGTCGGAACCGACTCAACGGAGCTTAACAACAACAACAATCGAGGCTTGAGGAGTCCTGGTTTGGCACTGTAGGATGAGTTCTGGACTGCTAACTGCAAGTTTGGCGGTTCAAACCCAGCATCCACTCCTTGGAAACCCTATACAGGTTTGCTGTGAGTGGGAACCTACTCGACGGCACTTAACAACAAGAACAATCTAGACTTGCGAGAAAGTGGACAGGGTGAGCATTGGTCACAGAGAACAGTAAATAAGCCAATAATTATGTTATAGTGTTGTCAGGGCAGAGATAGACCATTGCACAGGGTGCAGCTTGCTAGAACTGAAGTGTTACTGTGGCTTTGTGGATTCTTTGATGACTACGATCACTCAAAATGGCTCTTCTTGACCTTACAGGTTAATCATGTCCGCACAAGAGACTTTGACTGCTGCCTTGTTGTGCCCCTCATAGCGGAATCTGGCAATAAGCTGGACCTGGTGATTAGTAGAAACCCTCTGGCTTCACAGAAGTCTATAGAACAACAGACTCTACCAGGAGGAGACTGGCGTGAACAGAACAGTGCTTATTTCCAACAACCTAGCCACAGTGGTAATTTGGAGACACGGGAACCCACTAATACGTTATAGCAGCGCTTTTTATAAAACAGGACAAAAGATGTCATATACATGGTGCTAAAAATCCCTTTTAAGATTTCTGTGCCTGTTGAAGCACAGATCATCACGTGGCATTAACTGTAAGCACAGGGGTCTTTTAAATCTCTCTCATGGCTCACGCTCACTTCCCTTTCCAAGTTGAAGAGATTTCTTTTTTTGGTGACCACTATGGTGTATGGTAGACAAGAGAAAAATAGGTAGGCTGTTCCACCCCACAAATGAACATCTGAGGCATTTTTTTTTACAAGTTCATCTAAGTATCACTTTTTAAAAAGAGAAATGTCTGTTTAAAAATATTCTCTATGGTAATTTCCTTCATTCACTTTGAAATCAGTTTCTTACTATGAAGTCTTTGATGTAAGAACTTGATCAACATGGTCAAGTAGTTAAAGCTGGCTCGACCAGGGGAACTAGGGTTTTGTAAGCTGTGGGAACTGCTGCAACGGGAGGGGTACTAGTAATACAATTCAGTTATCTTAAAATGTTTCAGCAATGGTGCACGTAGCAGACAATTATAGGTGGTGGGAAAATGTTTTGCCCAAGTATAGGAATGATTTTAACTAAAATGTATGCTATTCCCTATGCAACAAATGATCAAACAGGATATGTCTTGTGACCTGTTTTGTTTTTTTTTTCTTAAAAGACACATTTTTAATAGCTGAAAATCTCTGATAATGAATTAGAATGTTTAGTAACACTGAGGATTAGTTACCTTATTTTTTAAATTCAAGACTAAGAACTTAAGAGAGAATGAAGAGTGTATTAAAATAGGGTTCATCTTAATGATAGGTTAATCCAATTCAAACTGCTTGACATGTTTTGAAAACCAGTAATATTGAGGGGTGTACAACACATGTACTTTAAAAATGACACGGGACAATCTTTTGTTCTGAGCCATGCCACTTATGGAAATTGTAAATACTTTTTTCACAAAATGCATTGCCAATTATGACCATCCTTCAAAGCAATAAATTGTGACAGTTGCTTTTATGTTTGTCAGCAACTGTTTTCATTTGTTCAGATATTTTGAATAGTTACACTAATAACTGTTATTTGGTGAATATGAAAAAATAGATCTGTATATTGATTGTAAAATCTCCATACTGAAATGATTATTTTCCAAATATTTTCATTTTGGTCAATAATTCAAACAACCACTTAGGTAAAACATTCAAACACTGTGTCCTTTGTTGAAGGAAAACTCACTTTTCTTTATGTGCAGAGAAATACATTATTTTAATCATATTTCAAAACTGCCAGGGCAAGAAAGTATAAAGGAGGTCGCATTAAGTAAAAAAAAAGTCATGAGTCACTTAAATATGTATTTTTATTTGTAACAAACAAGTATTAAGCTGTAAAGTATTTTTGTACAAATTTAATACTTTAATAGCATGGTATTTATCGTCTATGTATGTTTTGGGGAATTCAAAATTGTTGCAGATATTTGTATGGAAACTAAAAAAAAAAGAAAACACAACACCCTCTACCAAATGGAATAAACAGTGATTTTAAAGAGCAAAAAATATAGGTATGCATTTTTGGTACCTGAATATATTTCAGAGTCCTAGCCTGAGCCGTCTATAATAATGTACTTTCTAACAGGGAAAAGTTTTGAACTTGAGGGGCAGCATGGACGAGAGGGAAAGAGCATGGGCTTTGAAAGTGGACCTGGGTTTTAATGCCGACGCTGCTTCTCATCCTGGTATTTATCTGTCCTGCGTCCATTTCCTCACCTATGCATTGCATAGGATGTTGTGAAGTTCGTGAATCCTCTCTGAAAGTGAATCATCTCTGAAAGTGCCTAGACCCATGGCACACACAAACACTTCTGTTCATGTTAGATAACAAAGATGGAGAGATTGTAGATCAAGGTTCACAACATCTGCTGCCAGGGAACATTACATGAAGCCCATGAAATACACTTATATATATGAACTATTCAAACCTACAGACTTTCATTAACCTAAACATATATATATATACATAAATACACCACAATTATAGTCCCAAAGTTTCTATTTTCTGCAAAATATTTTGCAGGACTTGTAAATTCACATGGATGGTTACACATTACACCAGTGGGAGGGGGAGACATTCTGAGAGATTGAGGGTATTTTCTAGAACATGAGGATCACATGACCTCAACCAAAGATCAAATTATATCATTACAAAATCGAAGTTATAGTTCAGATTTCCATATGGCGCTGTGAGATAAAACACTGGACTGCAAGTTTGGTCACAAGGTTGACTGTTCAAACTCACCAGCCACTCCTTGAAAACCCTATACAAGGTCACTATGAGTCAGAACCGACTTGACAGCACTTAACAACAACAGTTACAGCTATGGGAGTCCTGGTGTGGTGTGGTGCTGTCGGATAAACACTTGACTGCTAACCATGAGCTCAGAGGTTCAAACCCACCAGCCACTCCTTGGAAACCCTATACAGAGTCGCGACGAGTAGGAATAGACTCACTGGCACTTAAAAGCAACAACGACAGTAACAATATAGCTATGAGTCAGAACCAATTTGACCTCTTCCTTTGACCTGGTCACTTTATTTGAACAGTGTTACCTGAAATCCTGGAGTCCTGGTGTGGTACTGTGGATTAATGTGCCAGACTGCAAAATCATTTGAACCAAAGATCAGTAGTTCAAGCTCACCAACCACTCCTTAGAAACCCTATACAGGGTTCTATGGCTCAGAACTGACTCGACACCACTTAATTACAACAGTAACACCTCAAATCCTGGTGTGGCACTGCGGGTAAATGTGTTGAACTGCAAGGTGGGTTCAGGCTCACCAGCCACTCCTCGGAAACCCTATACAGGGTCACTAGGAGTCAAAACTAACTCCTAGGCACTAACAACCACCTGAAAAAAAAATTGGAGTGTTAGCGTGGCACTGTGTGGCAAAGCACTGGACTGCAAGGTCGGTTTGAACCACAAGGTTGCCAGTTTAAACTCACCAACTGCTCCTTGGAAAACCTATACAAGGTTGCTATGAATCAGAACTGACTCAACAGCACTTAACACCTGCAACTATACCTGAAATCATTAGCAATTTTGTTATTTTTAAATAGACATTTCTACTCAACAATGTCTTAGAACAACAACAACTAACTACTGTGCACATTAACACACAATAATTTTGATTGGGGACAACTAAAATATGAGTCTTCCACAGAAACTACAACTTTTTGCCTGCTTTGTCACGTAATTTGTTACCAAACTTGAGTTCACTGACTTCTTAGTTATTCTGAGAAATTAGAACACACTATAAAGGAGCTCTGGTAGCATGGTGGTGGTTATATGGATGCCGTGCAGTCAGTTCTGACACATAGCGTCCCTGTACATAAACAGTTGGTAGTTTGGAACTGCTGATCTTGCGGTTCACAGCCTGATTTGGAACCACTACTCTGCAAACTTCAGGGTCAGCAGTTCAAAACTATTGTCGTTCCGTGGGAGAAAGATGAGGCTTTCTGCTCCTGTAAAGATTTACAGCCTTGGAAACCCTGTACAGGGTCTCTATGAGTCAGAACCAACTCCACGGCACATAAGCACCACCCCATATCCCTGGTGGAGTACTGGTGTGGCTCTGTGGGTTAATGCACTGGACTATAAAGTCAGTGTGAACCAAAATGTTAGCAGTTCAAGCTCAGCAGCTGCTCCTCAGAAACCCTATATAGGGGTGCTTTGGGTTGGAACTGACTCGACGGCACTCAACAACAACAACATATCCTTAGTGGAGTCCTGGTGTAGGTCGGCAGTTCAAACCTACCAGCTGCTCCTCAGAAATCCTGTACAGTGTTGACATGAGTCCGAACTGACTTTCTGGAACTTAACAACAACCACAGTATAACTCTGGTAGGAGTGAAGTGGTCCTCTAGGACCATTTCACTGGACTTTAAACCACAAGGTCAGCAGTTCAAGCCTACCAGCTTCTCCGAGGAAGAAAGACGAGGCTTTTTGCTCCTGCAAAGATATATAACCTCAGAAACCCTATACAGGGTCGCACATCACTTAGCAACAGCAATAACCCTGGTGGTACAGTGGTTAAGTGCTTGGTTGCTAGCCAGTCAGTGGTCCAAATCTGCTTTTGTAAAGATTACAGCTCTGGAAACTAGGAGCCCTGGCTGCCCAGTAGTTAAGCACTTGACGGCTAAATGGAAAGGTGGGCAATTAAACCTATCAGTCTCTCCATGGGAGAAAGAGATAGCAGTTTCTTCCATAAACATTTACAGCCTTGGAAACCCTATGGGGCAGTTCTCCAGTGTCACACAGTCTCTGTCAATTGAATTGACTTGATGGCATGGATTTTGGAACACTATAGTCCTGGTATGGTGCTGTGGGTTCATGTGCTGGATTATAAGGTCGGTTTGAACCACAAGGTTGGTGTTCCAAGCTCACCAACCACTCACTGGAAATTCTATAGGGGGTCACTATGAGTCAGAAACAAAGTTGGCTCTGACTCATAGTGATCCTGTATAGCGTTTCCAAGGAGCGGCTGGTGAGTTTGAACCGCTGACCTTGTGTTCCAGCATCACATTTTTATCTAGGACTCTACTTCTTGAAGCCCCTTATATATACCTAGAGTCCTGATGTGGCACTATGGGTTAATGCACTAGACTACAAGGCTAGTTTGAACTGCAAGGTCGGTGGTTCAGGCTCACCAGCTGCTCATTGGAAACCCTGTACAGGGTTGTTATGAGTAGGGAGCAACTCAACAGCACTTAACAACATATATACCTACTCCCAATTTACTGTAGGAGCTCTGGTAGCGTAGTGGTTACCAATCGGGCTGCTAACCTCAGAGTGAGCAGTTTGAAACTACTAGCTGTTCTGCTGGAGAACGATAAAGCTTTCTGCTCCCTGTAAAGATTTACAGCCTTGGAAACCCTGTACAGAGTCGCTATGGGTCGGAACCGCGTCCACGGTACTAAAACAACAATTTACTGTGAGTTAATGCATCAGACTGCAAAGCTATTGGAACTGCAAGGTTGGCAGTTCAAGTTCACCAGCTGCTTCTCAGAAACCCTATACAGGGTTGCTATGGGTCGGAATCTACTCAACAGCACTTAATAACAATTTACCAGAATGATTAGGTTCCCAAGACCAGATCATTATGGAAAAATCATCTAATATGAAATTGGGAGATGATCACATCACTTCTCACCTCATCTAAATTGTGAACATCCTGTGGAGCCCTGTGCTAAGGTTGTCTGTCACCACCACCTCCCCAGCCCTTACATTGCCTCAGGAGAGCTCAGCCCACACTGCCATACAGGCTGCTCAGTCTTCCAGAACTAGGGTAGCCCAAGAACCATCTCCTCCCTATCCCAAGGCTCCTTTCTCTCTTCTACTTTCATGTCTTCAAGATGGGTGACCTCATGCCCTCAAAGACCCCAAAACACCCTTGGTGGCATTGCCAGGCTCCCTGTCCATGGGCGAGGGTCCAGGTGCTGACGGGGGTGGGAGGGATGAACTGCCTGAGGGCCCTCCTTCCAATCCCTCCTGCGAGCATCTTCTGGCTCACTGGGCAGCCCTGTCCCCTTCTGCCCCATGAGAATCGACTCTCCAGAGCTCCCTCTGAGACCACGATGGCCAGGCCCTTGCTGACCCCACCTCCATCCCCACACCTGTGCCCACTCAGGAGGTAGCACCAAGGAACTTATGGGGATATATAGGTGTTGGTCAGCTGATGTGGTTCTCAAAGGCTCCGGGCACTCAAGTGCCCCATCTCAGTGCCCCTCTGACCATGGTCCTGTCCATGCCTGTAACCCAAGACTGGGAGGTAAGGCCAGACCCTGGAGTCCATGTCCTCCCCAGCACTGGCTGCCACTGTTCCAGCCTCAGCCACCAGTGGGCAGCCAGGATCCACTGGCCAGCAATGCAGCACACATTTTCTATGTGTACACAGTGTTTGCTGTTCAGTTCCCCTTGGCATTTATTACTTCCAGACATGTGTGAACACACAAAATAATATATAGTATATTTCTTACTATTGGCATTAAGTGTGAAATATCAGATAACAAGGTAGCTGGTGAGAAGTAGATGTGTGTGTGTGTGTGCATATGTAATATATATGAGACTCTCTGGAAAAATTCTAAGCATATGCAACAAATGAAGAAACATTTATTCAAGAAAATCTACTAGAATTTGGTAACAACACAAAGTACGTTTTTGAGTCAGAACCCATTTCATATCTCAGCTTAACAAAAGTCTAACTCCAGGTAGGTGTATTCAAGACTAGGTTCTATCTCACCTTAGTTCTCAAAGTTTGCTGTCTTGCAGCAGGAAGTCTAGGTCTCCCTTCCTCTGCCCAGTACCCATTCATAAGATAACTCTTTCCAGACACATCAGGTCTAGAACACTGGGGTCCCAGTCATCCTCCCCCGAACTTATTCCACAATGGGAGACCATACACTCTTAAATAACCAATATGTGAAAGTAGAAATAAAAATCAGAAAAGATTTTTAGATGAATGAAAATAAAAATACAACATACCAAACCTTATGGAATGCAGTTAAAGAAGTGCT